ACGTCAGCATGTGCATGCTGTACATATTGTAAATAGTGCGCATATGTCAAAAGCGCTCACTGCTTGTACATATATAATATATCCTGCACGAAAACACATTTAAAATAAATACACTGGTATATGAAGTATTTCGAAATTTCCCTCATTACATTTCCTTTAATTTCATTTCCTGCGTTATTATTATAATTTCGGAAAGAGTATGTATAACGCGTTCCATGTATGATTAGTTACATGCTTGAAGAACAATTTTCGTACGTTTCAAGTAATGTAGAAAATAATGGAAAATAATCATCAGAATATATATTGGAATTAACACAACGCTTGTAAAGCCGTTCATGTTTTCAATTTATTATGTACATAAATATGTCATATTTCGTTGTAATTTCATATTTAAAATCCTGTAATATTGTACACAATTAATATACATAAATTAAATACAGCAATCGTGTAATAAATTGAATGAGGTGCGCGGCGACGAGACCACGCGGCGTTCGATAAGTAATCGCGAACGCACTATAGCCTCGGCGAGCCTTGGGTTCGGCTCCCCTCGGCTCGTAGCACGGGCCGACCGGACGGTCAAGGGCCGAACAGGCCGGCACGGGCCGAACGGGCCGGTACGGGCCGAACGGGCCAAAGTATCATATTTCTCGTTATCGCAAAGCCCACGCGGCCCTTAGTGGAGGGAGAATCGGGCCGCCGGCCCGGTCCGTGCAGAACTCTGCCGGCTACAGACCTGTGCAACATCGGCCGCGCACGAACGCGCAGGGTTTGCGAGACGAAAACACGTACACACTAGGCGAATGCGCGCCGCACCTGGGGGGACAAACCTAAGTGGGGCGAGTTGAAGCAAAGCTTCTAGCGCCTCGTACCAAAGGTTCACGAACTAAAGTGTATAAATGTGTGAACGATCCCATGTGTGCGTGCATACGTATATGCCGTATATGCCTTTAACATGAGATCAACCAAGGAAAGAGCTGATACAATTCAAAGATTACTATTTCAAATAATGTAAGAAGAAATTTAGTGTTTTCCTACATCGTTTGAAATAATAATCTTCGAATTGTGTATCCGCTCTTTTCTTGGGNGTCGACGGTTGGTAGCTGCAAGTCGCGGAGGTACCGAGTGTTTAACACGTGGGGAATGTTGTAAGTATGACAAGGAATCGAAGGTCGGGTTTCTTTCAGGGATGCTAAAAACATTTTCACTAACGAATTTGGCCATCGAGTGGGGAAAATTCTCCCGAAGGAAAGTTGTGAGAGACGGTTCAGTAGATTTCGAGTCGTGTACCTCAACTCAATGACGGAGCCCGAAAAATCCAATAGAGTATTAGGAAATGATCCGAGTATTCGCCTAACGCAAAGATGGTTATCCGCCGATTCCGATAAAAAGAGCGTCATTCCGATCGAGTCGTGCCCTTCGCGTATCGTGTAATTCACGGGCCACGCGGATAGTGAAGTTCATTTTGTGAATAAAAAACAATCGGCTCCTTTCGGAGACGTTTAATGTTAGAGTGCAAAAACGACAGTGTAAGTGTTTGAAAATTTTTAAGTGAAAAGTGACAGTGGTTTTTTTAAGTTGAGTTTGTGTACAAAAATCAATCGGCTGCTTTCAAAGACGAGTATTGATAGGACGTAGGAACAACAATCTTAGTGTGTTAAAATTTTTAAGAGTGACAATGATCGTGCGGTGGATTGCGGGGTTGCTTCCCTAAACAAAAGATCAGCTGTGGCCTAGGCCTACCTGCGAGCGGCAAAGACGCTGACCCATTGACCGTAGCCCATCGTTAGCAGGTGCACTCGCGAATGAATGGGTAAGTCTAAATCTCTACAATTTTTACATTTCCTTTTTAATTTAATATTCCCTGCGACTTGTTAATTCCTCATTTATCCTATCATCATCCATCAATTATCAACAATCCCATTCCACGTGAATAACGATTAACTGTATTAATTGTTATTCATAATAACGAACGATCAACAATTTCCTTGCATTGTTATTAATGTAGTTTGTTATTCGTCATTTTCTTAAAACGCTTCGTACTGAGCGGAGTGCTTGTTCAAACGCGAGAAAAGCCGGCCGGCTGACTCCGGCCAGCGCTCCCGAAACGGAGACCGCCTCAACCGAGCGCTCTGAGTGGTCCGGGTTTTTTGTTAATAACTCGGTAACCATGCCCCATTTCGTATTTTGCCAAAGGAAATTGTTATTCACAATGCTCCTCCCCATCTGCCATTTTCGGCTCTAACAATCTTTCCGGAACACCCTGTATATGCTTGCCGAACAGGTCGGGAATCGCTTTGAGACTTGAGTATACATATAGCTATACTCTCTATGAGTATGAGCTATACTCTCTTCTCGTGTGAACAAGGCGATGTGGTAGACAATTTCAATTTTATCGATTCACCACATACAGAAGAAACAATAATTACAAATGTGCTATCCAAAGCGGACATTGAGAAATGTAATTCCCTTTCGACAGTTACAATTGCCACTTGCTTAATTCTCCCTTCGCTTTCTGAACGTGACCGAGGAAGGGATCTTCCTCCTTCAAGAACTCGTTATTAGTTTGACGATATTCGTGCTACATCGGATTCCATTTCACCGACGAAAAGAAAAACAAGTTGTGCGAAATGGAACATCTGCGACTTCTGTGGATCGAGAATTCGACAAAATCAATCCTGTTTCTACATACGAACACAGATAAGTGATCTGTGTGTATGGAATCGCTGCTTTCGAGACGTCTTTCATCCAAGCTCACTCGCAAAAATGATGAAAATAGGATAGAAACAGACAAATGGAAGTATTACGATACATTCCCGTTCGATACCTTTTTGTCTGGAAACCGAATAAAGTTATGAAGAAATATCAGGTCACGGTCTTCTGGAGTTTCTTGATAAAATGTTGGAGGAGAAAGCATGGAAATCCAGAAAATACGTGAGTTGCTCGAAAAGTGATGTTGGATTTTCAAGTCGAGGTTTTACTCGACTTAAGACCACACAGACAGGTCACGTACAAGGCGTCGGCATTAGTGTTAGTGAGCCGTCAAGCGTTTGGAAGTGTAGTTGTACGGAAAAAATGGATCTTGCGTCGAACGAAATACAAATTGAGTATATGGAAGACATCGAAAATGCTGAAAATATCGACGACGTTGAAGACAGCATCATGGACTTAATTAATAATCCGATCGTAAGGACGTATATCCGTGATAGGCAAAATCCATTTGAATATTACGATGGATTGGAATTTAAAAGACGGTACCGATTCACTAACGAATCGGTATTACATCGTATTTTACTGAAAATCCTTGACGAATTGAAGAAATTCAATAATCGTGGTCTGCCAATTCCGCGACAGTTGCAATTGTTCCTGTTTTTGTGATATTATGCAAGTGCAAGTTTTCAGGTAATTCATATTCTACTTTCATGTCTACAGTATTAAGAATTAACGAGTGTTTATTGAGGAAACCGTTTAAAAACTATTTACAGCCGGTGCTCGGACATCTCGCAGCCCACAATTTTCCGAATAGTCAGGCGTGTCAACAAGGATGAACAATATAGATGAAGTCCTTAGAAATCGAAAAGGATACTTCTCACTGAATGTGCAAGTACGTTTTCATACATTTTTGTAGTACAACATTATGGTTGAGCAATTATATGATTGCATTCTTCAATTATAAACCTATTACAGGCGGTTGTTGGGCCCAGAATGGCCAGGCAGTGCGAACTACTGCCGGATTTTCCAGAACTCTCGTCTCGAAATTGGATGGGATGCTGGTTGGTGACAGGGGATAACGCTGTTTGCCATTCTTATTGATCCCGATCACAGATGCCAGAACAAATGAAGGAATAACGTTAGTATCTTGTACGCTACAGTTAACAAGTTTTTGAGTTTGACAAAAGAATTGGGTTCATTCATTGTTGTATACTTACAGGTATAATAATACCCATGCGAGAACTAGTCGAAGGCTAGTGACCAGTGCGAAGTATGCGCCATGCTGCACAACATCATATGCAGGGACATGTTGCCAGAAAATAACAAGGAGAAAACAGACAACTTGAAGTGCCAGTATGGAATATTCAAAGTCTTTAACCTTCGAGCGGCTTAGCTGCTCGAGAGGCGTTAATTGAACATTTCTTCAATTAAATGTACGTGTATAAATAAATTTGTAAATTTGTATACGTAAACGACTTTACTTATTGTACCTTATACTCCAGAATATTGCACTTTCTTGAGACATTCACGATCAATGTTTATAATAAATCTATCATAAAAACTGTATACATCGTTCAATTTTTAAATAATACTAATGAAGCGA